TTTTTTTTTGAGACGCTTTAATACGCTTTAATACGTTTGGAAGACGACTTACACGAGCTTTGTATCTGCTGCAGTAAAAACTAATTTCTTCTTCTATAGTTCGAATTCTGAGATCTTGATGTATCAACCAATTGGACTATTTTGGAGCGTTCACGATTTGTTTCAAAATTTTATTTTGGAACCTTTGTATAATAGTTACGTTAGATTTACTGGTCGCACCCCATAGTTGTAGGCCGTAGGACCATATTGGTTTAATAATTGTCTTGTATATTAGGAGTTTTTTTTTCTATTGTGACTTGTGATTTCCAGCCCATTAACCAATTAAGGTCCCTACTTGTTAATTCAAGCTGCTGACGTTTCTTTAGAATATGTTCATGCCAGGTTAATCTTCTATCATTCAATTTAACAGGGCGCATGAACCTTGTCGTAAGGTAAAAGTAACGTAAACTGATTTAGAGTTATTCACTTTTGTAAGCGCCTGGCGCAATGTTTATTAAAAAAGTCAATTAAAAATCACTACGCACAGACACTTTATTACCTCGAAGGACCAGATATAATTTATCATTAGAATGGCTATATCAGACCTTTAAAAATATGTAAGTTAAATAAGTTAGTTAGTTATTAATAGTATTTATTTGTTTGATGTTCACGGTTCAAGTTATGCGTACAGAATAGATAATTTCTTATAACTATCTTAGTACCTAGAGTAGGGTAGGAAATTATTTTATTACAGATTAGAGGGAGTTCAGTATATAGGTAGAGGGAAATGGATAAATAAAATTTGTGAGGCTCAACATGCCGGCCCGATTTGAAAAAACAATGGAAAATTAATTTACATGATTTTTCAACATTGCTTCATATAGTTATGGTGTTATAGTAAAGTTACAATATAAATGTATAAAGATTAATTAGTTATAATAATATGTAAAAATGATTAATTTTATTATCACTTAAATTCTAGTAATGATTAAAGTCTTGTGATAACACAGTTTATGAATACACGATTGATTATAATTGTAACACTTCACTTCACTTATTGTAATATATTGGTGTTTAAAGTCTCAAGATAAAATAGTTTATGCATTGATTTGTATGATATGGTATATATCCCTGGTAGTTATTAGTACACAAAGTTTTGTTGTTGCACAATTCACCACGCTATTGTTTGTTTTATTGGTCACAACACACACAGTACCTTCCTTTCCCTGGATAGTTTGCTGGAACGCGTCTTAAGTGCCAGTTCAAGAGTTGAAAGATTCTAATTAGATATAATAATTGCATATGCAATCATGATCTCGTTGCATGCTTCCAAAAAGTTGATCCCTGCAGTCGTAGATCCGGAAGTGGCTTTTGACAGGTATTTTAAGCAATAGTGGGTTAGGTATAAAGGTTAAAGAATTTCCAATTGGAAAGTGAATTGTTAAGGATTAGTAATTAGGATTGGAATCAAAGGAGATTCAGGTTTAGAATTTTGTCAATCTGCGTTAAAATGTGTTTAAGTAAAATTATTCATAAGGATGTTGGTATGTTATGTAAGTGTTTCCGATATCTCATTTTAACGTGCTTTATGAGATTTAATAGATAAATAGATAATAAATCCATAGTTTCGAAATGAAGGGTCTTTGATATGATATAATTTATTAAAAGTTTAATTGCTAAATTATTTGTTGCCTTTGTGTTAATTGATTTATGTTGTAATATCATATGAAATCGTTTTAAGTTTGATGCTGCGTCAACAAAATTTGAACAGTTTTTTGAATATATTTTGTAAATTTTGCAACTTTGCGTTATGGACCATTTTTGTGTAGCCACAAAGTATTTTGCAGTCAAATAAAAAGTCTGTTCAATATGAAGAGCTTTAGTGATACAACAATCAATCAAGATAATTCCACATTCCATTATTGTTATTGGAATTTTAAAATTTAAACAGTCGTTTGTATCGAAAGATTTTCGTAACCGCAATAAAAATCGTAAGTTTAGATTAACTGCAGTATTAGAAGCCAAAAAGTTTATATTACAATTTGTTTCTATTTTGTCTACTTTATCGGTTACCAAGGCTTTCCGCTTGTATGATAGATGAGGTTTTATAAGAAATAAAGTAACCGTATAGTTATTCAAATAATATTTCTTATCAAATGTAAAGTTTAATGCGCGTTTTTCTTTCTGTATAAGATTTGCTAAAAGTTCAAGTCGTTGAAGTGGTATATTTTTTAAAGCCATTGGTTTAGATTTCAATGTAGTTAAATATATTTTAGTATTAGAATTTTTCCCGGTAGAGCATAAATAGGTAAAAGTTCTGTATACCCATTTTATCGTGTTGGTAAATCCGTCTAGTAATTGTTGAGTTATTAATAATTTATAACGTATATTAGTAAGTATTTTAGTAATTGCTTTATTTATAGCCTTATTAGCTAAAACTATATTATTGAATCTGAAACTATCGAGTATATTACAAAATATATCTAAAGTTTTAGCAGTTAGTTTGTCAAAATAAAGATAAGGGGTTTCTAAAAGTTTAAAATTATTAGTTTTGAAATCATATAGATTTAATTTGTCGTTCACTAAAAGTTTTGTTAAATTTTGTTTAGTTGTTAGTAGTGAAAGTATTTTATTTGCCTCGGTAATCATGTAATATTCTTTAGGTAATTTATCGTTTGATCGTAAGTAGTATTCAAAAAATTTAAATCTCTTTAACATAATTTATTTATTACGTGCCAGATTTTCACTGTTGTCAAAAGGAATTTTTATACCGAATCGCCAGGTAATTCTCGTAGTATTTGGGGTGAGATTTTGTTTTCCGGCTAGTACCTGGTTTTCCAGGTTTGAGGTAGAATTATAAAGTGTAAAAGACTCGGGATACGTGTTCCCGTTTAAGCCGAATTGAGTAATATGCGAATCAGGTTTATTGTTACCTAATTTTATGTTTTTATTGTAAAAGGTGTCGTTGTCGATTACAAAGTTTGCTTTATTACTTTTCTTAAATGTAGAGTCTGGTAATTTTTCAAATTGTGGAATGTTTAAAATGTTTGCGTTAAAAGAATTTGTCGGAATGTTATACGTAGTTTTAATATTTTCGTTTCGTGTTTCTGATAATTCCGCCGCGAAGGAACAGTTTTTGTCGAATACAGGTAAAGATTCAGTTATGCTCTCTGCCTCGAGTTTAGGGTAATTAAAATTTTGGAACTGATTGATATTTTGATCAAACTCAGGTAATTTGATCGAAATTGGAGGTTGTTTTATATTTTTTGACGATTTGATTGTTTGATCACTAAAGCTGTTAGTAGAACCAGATTTAGTGGATGCGCTATTAAGTAGTTTACGTAATTTTGATAGACATCTAGTATGATCGTCATCGAAATCAAGTAGTTCTGTTTCTAATAATTGATCAATTTCTTCTTCGTCGTCTAAAAAAGTAGTTATTTCGACAAGTGTATTTTGGAACGTGTCTATCATAGGTTTCACTTTTTCCAAAATACCGTTTATCTGTAATACATTTAGTTCGCTACACGGAATTTTTGACATTTTGTTACAAGTTTGTTCAAATTCTGCTAGACGAGCTTTTATTAATGTTAGTTCGTTTTGTAAAGATTGTAATGATTTGAATGAATCCATTTTAATGTAGATTCACACAAAATTCTAGAGATGGTTAGGTATAGATATAGGTTGAAAATATAAAGATTTAGGATGAGTTTAGGATAAGTTAGAAGAGATTGCTTTGACTAACCTTGTTTGATGTGGTGATTCTGTAGCTTCTTGACCGCTTTGTAGATTTTCTTGATGAGTGCAGTAATTATGCTGTTGATAATAACGTGCACTGATGAATAGTTTTCGTGGCTCCAGTAGATTACGCTGTTAATTATCACTGTGCACTTTGTAAGTTAGATTAAGTGGATTACGCTGTTAATAATCACTGTACACTTTTTAAGTTAAATTTAGTGACTTCAGTGGATTACGCTGTTGGAAATGACTGTGCACTTGGTAGGTTAGATTTAGTAGCTTCAGTGGATTACGCTGTTGTTAATCACTGTGTACTTTGTAAGTTAAATTTAGTGGCTCCAGTGGATAACGCTGTTAGAAATCACTGTGCACTTTGTAAGTTAGGTTAAGTGGCTCCAGAAGATTACGCTGTGTCGGAAATCACTGTGCACTTTTTTTTGTTAATAATAGTTGTTGTTAATAATAGTAGTTTTGTTAATTGTAACTAGTTTTTCACTGGAGGTCGAATCCGGCTCGATCGGACCAAAAAATGTAAGCGCCCGGCGCAATGTTTATTAAAAAAGTCAATTAAAAATCACTATGCACAGTCACTTTATTACCTCGAAGGACCAAATATAATTTATCATTAGAATGGCTATATCTGACCTTTAAAAATATGTAAGTTAAATAAGTTAGTTAGTTATTAATAGTATTTATTTGTTTGATGTTCACGGTTCAAGTTATGCGTACAGAATGGATAATTTCTTATTACAGATTAGAAGGAGTTTAGTATATAGGTAGAGGGAGATGGATAAATAAAATTTGTGAGGCTCGAACAACTTTTATTCTCCATAATTTCATCCACTTTTCTACTTCATCTACATGTTTTTGTAGAATTTCCGAGGCAAGCAATTGGTTGTCATGTTGAGCTAGAATTCCCGTATCATCTGCAAAGGTAGCAATCATGGTTTCTGCGGTTCCAATCGTAGTCGGCTTTTCGATATTATTTCTTTTGTTTTACTTTCGGCAGTCGATAAAATTGGTATGGCGTTAAAGAATTTGACTTCAAGTCATATAAGATTAAAAAAATCAATGTTAATATCTATTTGCCGCCCATGCCGGTGGTTTTTTTTGCATTTTCTCTACTGAGTGTGCTTTTGTTTTGTTTGTAGTGTTTTGTTATCTACCTATGAATAAAAAGTTATTACATGTGACACAATATTTTAATATTGCATCCTATAAGACGAGGTAACGAAATGCTACAAACCAAGCTAATTACCGATCTAATCGTACTGCACAAGAACATGACGGCCGAAATGAACAGAAAAGTTACTCAATACCAAATGGGGCGCTATGTTAGTAGTAATGAAGCAATTTGGGGAATATTTAATTTTCCAATGCATGAGAGACACCCTTCTGTTATTTACTTAGCTGTGCATTTAGAAAATTGGCAAAGGGTGTACTTTACAGCAGTGAACGCAGATCAAAGAGCTGCTCAGCCACCATCTACTACATTAACAAGTTTTTTTGAGACATGTGAAAACGATAATCTTGCACAAACACTGCTATATTCTGAAATGCAAAAATATTATACTTGGAATCAAGAAGATTTATACGACGGAAACAAGGAAAACCAGTACCATACATACACAGATGTATATTCCACCGATGCGATTGATCGAATTTATTCAGTACATCGAAGCCATGGTGAATGTTTTTGTTTACGACTGCTATTAGTCAATGTACGTGGTCCAACGTCATTCCAACATTTACGAACTGTTGATGGTGAATTGTGTGGATCCTACAGAGAAGCCCGTCAACGTTTACAATTGCTAGAAAGTGACGCTCATTGAGATCAAACTCTCAGCGATGCTGTAATATCTTCACACACTCATCAAATACGAACATTGTTTTCTATAATCATATCCACATGCTTTCCATCAAACCCAATTGATTTGTGGATCATGTAAACACAAAATATGTGTGATGATATTTTGTGTCAAATACGGAATAGAATGGGAAATCCAAATATGCAGTAAATATCAATAAAGAAATTTGCAACGAAGCATTGATTTCAATTGAAAACATGTGCTTGATGATGTCAAACAAACTATTAATTCAATTAGGCCTGGCCGCGCCCAATCGTCCAATGCATGATGCTTTTAACCAATTTGAAAGAATTAATCGAAACAAAACTTCCACTGTTGAATGAACAACAAAAGTATGTATTTGATACTCTTATGAAAGTAACAAATGATGGAACTGGGGGATTTACTTCTTAGATGCACCTGGTGGTACAGGAAAAACTTTTTTGATTTTATTAATATTAGCAACAATTCGCTCACAAAACAAAATTGCACTTGCACTCGCTTCATCGGAAATCGCAGCAACTTTACTTGAAGGTGGTCGAACAGCCCATTCAGCACTAAAATTGCCATTAAATATGCAAAGCAATGAAACTCCAACTTGCAACATTTCGAAGAACTCTCAATTGATCGTTTGGAATGAATGTACAATGACGCATAAAAAATCTTTTGATGCTTTGACAGAACCTTAAGAGATCAACAGAGCAATCAGAATCGATTTGGTAGATTTTTTTGACAGAACGAAGTCTGTCGGGTCAGCTAGTTCAGTTTATATAATTCTTATAAATATTAAAAAATGTTACAGTATTGATTTATGATAATCTATTTGAAAACATTTAATATTTCTCGAACTTTTCGTTCCGGTACGGGAAGTTCCAGCAATTTGCCTTGAGGCACGATGCCACTAGTTTTCTAATAATTAGTTCTTCTATTGATATCCGACGTTATTTTGAAAAAAAATAAAATTACACTACTGAGAAGGCGCGTCATCCCCCCGAGTGATGCTCGATGAATCAATTTATTTTCACTTTTGGGTACTCGAGGATAAGATGAACCTAATTCCAAAATTTCATGCAAATTGGAGCGCAGTAAAAAAATTCAGACCAAAAACGCTCCATTGACTGGAGTATTGATTAATATTGTTGCTCCGTATGATTTCTTTGAAGGACCAATTAAGCTTGTTATAAATTATTGTGTTTTCGTAATATTCCAATTCGAAAATTGTTCAATTAATAACATTGTTTTCCGTTAGTGGATTTAGATTGATTTTCTTTTATTTTTCTATTCGCCATGTTAATTATGGAACAACTGTTATTACTGTGTTGGCGTGAACAAATATTATATAATTCATATTCCCCTTATATAGTCATTACTAACTCCAATTAATCGAATACGTATCAAATTTTTCAGATTTTTTTTTCGGTAGATTCCATACTTTTATAGATCATACTAAAATATTACGGACAAGTCGTTACGGACAAGTCGTTACGGACAAGTCGTTTAAATTTAAGAATTCTTCAAAGTTTGCAAAAAATATTATAATTTTTTTGGCATTTGTTAAAATTAGGTCTTTTATCGATGTTTGCTCAAAAACGCCTGAACCGATTTGAGAAATTTAAAAACCATATGATGCATCTTAATGATGGCTATTGTGTGTCGATTTTGTGCGACGATCTGCCAAGCCGTTTCTTTGTAATTTGGAAAAAGTGTTAAACTTTTTGTCCACATTTAAGCTCCGATTACCGAATCTATTTTGAAAAATCAAAAACTGTTCGAAATATATTAGTTGAGAATGACACTGATTAGTTTTAGGTGAAAATCTACCGAGCCCTTTTCTTGTAATTAACTGTTGAAAAAAAAAATTAGATTGATTTTTATGGAACTTTTTTGGCGATATATATATAATAGTTTCATAGAACTTACTGAAATATTATGGCCTTACGACAAGTAGTTTAATTTTAAAAATTTATCAAATTTTGAGAAAATGAGTAGTCTCTTTGACGTTTGTTAAAATTAAAATTAGACGATTTACTTGGTATAACGATAGAGCGTTCGTTCGTTTTCTATGTAATGTAATAAATCCACTCGGAATACTTTTAATCACCCATAATTTTTTTTTTTTTTGATTAAGTCGATTATTTACACAAATTGAAATTTTCATGTAACTTGCCACAAGGCAAAATACCAATACCAACTAGTTGAATTCTGGATTTTGTGTATAATTGTAAATAATACTACTGAGCTTATACAAAATTTCAGCGAGGAAAGGTAGACAATGAATTAAGTATTTCTTCTTTTACCTACTTTGTGAAAAGTTTTAGGTTAGGTTAGTTTCGTTTTTTATATAAATTAAAGTAAATTTAATAATAATTATATTTGTAGAGACTATCAGCAAATATAAATTATATTGTGAAAATGAAACCAAAACCAATTATATCACAACAAATAACTCATATCAAATGAAAAATTATCTGTCTGTGTTCAGTAAAACTGTCAGCTACTTCATCATTTTAGAAATGTGTTTTTTTGCTGTTTTTTATACGTTTGTTATCTAGTCCTTTTTACCCTATAGGCGGAGTAACTTGGAACCCAAGTGACAAACAGCCCCGTAAACCACAAGAGTTAAAATTACCTAACTCATTTTGTAACTTTCATTACGAAACTAATGTTAAGTAAAAAAACCGATGCCGTTACGTATAGTTGTGAACTTTATCTACCGTCGACGCGTTTTTCTAGGGATTGTCGGTTTTCAAAAACCGGTTTTAAAAACCGTTTTTTGGCGAAAATTATAGAATTTGAAAAGCGTTTTTTTAGTGTAAAAAGTCTGTTTTCACTGTATGAATGGAAAATGATAAATATAGCCAAATATAAAAGATAGATGAAAGCGTTTTGAGTCTTGAAATCATATCGGTTCAATACCACTTAATATCTTATCAGTCTGCAATGGTTCCGAGAAGGGTTTTGTATATATTAATTTAGATTTTTATACCAGTGTATATAATAATTTAAATCAGCATGACTTCTTCTTGAAGAAGTAATTTCCTCTACTCAAACTTAAAAAAAGAGTTTTAAACCTTAGAAGCCACAATTCAAAGAACAAAAAACTTAGAATTATTATATCAGACTTCAAAATCAAATAAGCATAATTTGGTCGCGAGTATGAGAGTAAATTCTATTTCAGGAAATTTTGTGAGTAAACAAAGGACACAGTTTTTTTCAATCATATTTTATTAAACAAAAAAAGAATTAGAATGTTTAAAATTAATTAATTAAAATTGCTTGGAACAGACAACACCCGAGTTTAGCTTAATTGTTTTTAAAACTAAGATTGCTATTAACAAGTTTGAATCCATTAACAAATTTGTATCAACATACTAATCTAATACTTCTAAATATCTAATATTTTTTTATTTTGAACTTCGTAGGATAAGTTATTGTCATCGTCCAAAAATCGAAATTGGTAGTTTTTACATTTCTCGACGTTTTGAAGGTTTCTGAACATTTTGGCATACCTCAGAAAAAAATGGATGAGTGTTTGTGTATGTATGTATGTATACAATTTTTCGTCCACGTTGCCGGGCGCACGGATCCACCGATTTGAATCGTTCAAAAAACATTCGATTTCTTTTGTTAAGGAGATGTACTAGTTAGTTTTTGGCAAAGGCAGGTCCAGCCGTTTTGGAGATACGGAACAAAAAATGCAGAAATTAGAAATCGAGTTTTTGCGAGATTGAAGCATCCGATTTGAATGATACAAAAAACATTCAATTCGTAATCACGGGGAAAAAGTTTCATTAGTTTTTGGCAAAAGCAGGTCCAGCGGTTTCGGAGATACAGAGCTAAATGTGCAAAAAATGGTTCTAATATACTTTAAACAAATAATTTCAACTTTGCAATTCAGCTTATATAATTATAAATATTAGACAATGTTACAGTATTTATAATATTCTTTTTGAAAACATTCAATATTCCACGAACATTTCGTTACAGTACGGGAAGTTCCAGCAATTTGCCTTAAGGCACGCTGCCATACACCACACTAGTTTTTTTTAAATTTAATGTTTTAATATTTAAAATTTATTATTTTTATTTATTCGAAAACTTTCCTTTCACTTTCATAAAAATGTTTTCATTCTTATATGTGAAAATAATGCATGAATGACGAATAAATATTTCCATAGTCATTTAATCAAGATAAACCATTATTTTTTAGTTCGACTAATTAAATTTGAAAATAGTGGAGTGTATGGCATCGTGCCTTAAGGCAAATTGCTAGAACTTCCCGTACCGTAACGAAATATTCGAGGAATACTGAATGTTTTTAAATAGATTATTATAATTATAAATATTGTAACATTGTCTAATATTTGTAAGAATGATATAAACTGAATTGCAAAGTTAAAATTCAAATTGTTTAAAGTTATTTGTTTAAAGTATATCAGAACCATAGTCAGAATTAAAAATAAAATCTGAATAATTTTCGATATACAAAAAAAATTTTTTTTGAAAAAAAAATGAAAAAAAAGTTGAAACAAAAATTATTTTTTTCCATAATCAATCGTTTTGTTAAGACAAGCAGAAAGTTTTTTGAATCACAATTTGTTAAGACAATCATTAGTATGGTATTTTTGGCATTTGTCAAAATTAGAACTTATATCGACGTTTGTTCAAAAACGCTTGAACCGATTTCAGATATTTAAAAATCATTTAATGTATCTCGATGAGGATAATTGTTTCTCAGTTTTGCGCGACGATCGGCCGAGCCGTTTCTTTGTAATTTGAAAAAAAGTGTTAAACCTTTCGTCCACATTTAAGCCCATACTACCGAACCGATTTTAAAAAATCAAAAACTGTTCGAAAGATATTAATTGGGGATCATACTGATTAGTTTTAGGTAAAAATCTACCGAGCCGTTTTCCTGTAGTTAACTGTTGAAAAAAAAATTTAGGCCGATTTTTATGGAACTTTTTTTGGCGATATATATCATG